AAAAAAAAAAAAGAAAAGAAAAGCTGGACAGTGGTGGCGCATGCCTTTAATCCCAGCATTCAGGAGGCAGAGGTAGGTGGATCTCTGTTTGAGGCCAGTCTGGGCTACAGAGTGAGTTCCAGGAAATGCTCCAAAGCTACACAGAAACCCTGTTTCGAAAAACAAACAAACAAACAAAACAGAGAGTGGGGGGTGGGTAGGAATGTTAAAGGTGCCTTGAGGATTCCAAGAAAAAGGAATGAATTATCCGAACATCTGGTAGTAGTTTACTGTTTTTGAGATTGGTCTTGTTATGTTACACATACTGGTCTCTGGCCTTCAGTAATCCTCCTGCCTCAGCTTCCTGAGTGCTACAACTAACTATAGGCTGTTACCACTGTGTCTGGCTTACTATTATTTCTGCATAGTAGATGATAATAGAGGCATCCCCCTGAGTGGCAGCATTGTTTTTACCCCACTGTTTTATTATAAAGCTCAACATACAGAAAAACTGAAAGTGAATATTTATATACTCACCACCTACATTCTACTTTTGGTTCAGTGGCATTAAGTCCTCTGTCTTTCATATACGTAACCACTTTAAATTACGTTGCCACAAGCAGCAAAGTTGACTGTTGTCTCTACAGTCCTCTTTCCTTTTTCCCTTCTTGCTTTCTCTCCTTCCCCTTGAGACAGTCTGGATATATAACCCAAGCTAGCCTCAAACTGTTAGATCCTTCTGCTGTGATTACAGGCATACACTACCATGCCCAGCCTTTGATTAAATGATTGATTGAATGATACACCCTTGAACGTGTAAGTGAGCAAGAGGAAGGAAGGGAAGATAATCTTCACATTTGTTAGAATTTATGTTCTTTTTAAAAATATAAATCTTACATAATTTTTACTTTGAATCAGGTAGTTATAAAAGAAAAATAGTAAAACTAGTGTTTTTTGAGAGTATGCGTACTAACTGACCCCTCAGAATAACTGTGATTTTGGTGCTGTCAGCCAAATGGTGAAGTTATCCTAGGGCATAGTTAGGATTTGAACTTAGATTCTTTGACTTAAAAAATTAGGTCAGTTCTGCTCTGTTAGTTGTTAGCTTCCCTACAATTATAGAAAGAAGTAGTTATAGTTTTAAT